ATCTTTCTCTACGCGGACCAGTAGAACGAGCAAAGACTCGACGAACATGGGGCCCGCTCTGTCGAATGACTTCATTGACTATACTCAGGTTGCAAGCGTCATCAAGTGAGACCATTAGTCGTCGCTTGAATTGCAAAGCTCAGCTCAGCGTGCAATCCCAGATCATATCCCTCACACGCACGCACGCGGTCTCACATTCAAAATTCAACGATCTGGAGCCCGCGTGAATGCTGACTGCATCCTGTAGTGAGACAGAAGAGTCTGTCTGACTCGCTGCTGCACGTACTGTACATGCTTTGGTCCGGTCAGGTCCGTATTTCGACGGAGGTGATGCGGTGATGCGGTGATGTGGTGGTGGAGGTCAGCTTGCACCCTTTACAACAAACGCTAGTCCCTTCCACAGAGCCTAAAGGAGGGGTAAGCGAGGTGTGAGCAGGCGCATCGCGCGCATATCCACCTCTGCCCTGTGCTCCCTCTACAGCGAGCGAATCGTGATGGTGTGACGATTGGAGCAAATCAGAAAATGATCCATGACATGCAGCTTCTCAAATCAAAATCGCCACTCAGATGGAGCGCGTAGCGCGTAGCGCGTCGCGCGCTGACCCGCGCTAGCGCGTTTTGGGGCACCGAGCAGCCTCTTGGAGCTCGATCTTATTCAGAAGTGAATCTGGCTGGATTCAAGGGTTTGTTCTTCTTTCACCCTGCTTGCGTAGTCCCTCCAACCAATCTCTCTCTCTCGACTTTTGCTCTCGGCATTCGTGGGCCGACACAGAGTCAGAGTGTCGAGTACGGGGGCGTCCCGTCGCGCATTGGACACGTGACGCAGGTTTGAGCATATCCATCAAGGTGATGCGTACAGATTCTTGATACGAGACACCCGACTCATCACTGCCCACGGGTCCATCGTCGGCGGGCGGCGAAAGGGGCAGCGCAGATGGCTGTCGTCCCTTCCTTCCGCACATCAATCTCATCACCCAGACACACATCCAAACGGCTGCCAACAATTGCAATACATCACACACAACACATTGACATGTTCTTCTCAGCTTCATTTGCATTTCCGCGATGCGCAAGCTCAAAGGGCGGCGCTCATCCTCTCCTTTCCGCCACTCTGAGAAGATCTGCAGTGACGCCGCTAGCGGTGACATCTGCACCAGCGCCTGCTCCCTGCACAAGCAGAGGCCTAGCCGAGTATCGCTTGGTGTGGAAGGCGATGATGTTGTCGCTGCCAGACAGAGAGGTGGCAAACGGGTGCGTGGCTGGGTAGCTATTGTTGAGAGTTGCGCAGTCTGGTGTCAGCTTTGCCAACTTACATGCACCTTCGGTGGACTGGCTGGCCAAGAGCATGCGTGTGGTGGCCAGCCACTCGTGTGGCGTATCGTGGTTGCTCACTCCGGTGCGGTCCAAGCTGCAACACTCACCTTTCCAAGCTCGCCTTGATCTCCTTCTTGGCAACATCGATGGTTCCTACGTATCTCAGTACCTTTCCTTCGCTGGCAGCTTTCGATCTCAGCGCGTCAAATTCTCCATCAAATTCTTTCAACCTTTGCGTGTACACTTCTCCGTCCTGCTCTTCCTTGAGCCCTTCCGGCGTCAACGACGAAGTGGGCACCGATTCGAAGCCTTGCGGAAGCAGGTTGACGAGCGAAGGGATGAGGCGAGACAGGATGGTGAGCTTCCTCGACACGTCTGAGCCCGACAGATCAGCGTCGGGATGCGGTTCCTGGGCGAAAGATCGACGTTATGAGCCAGCAGATCCCCTCACAGCAGGGATTTGCAGACTTACAGTGTATCCATTGTCCTTCGCCACCTTGACCACCTCGGAGAATTTGACTGTAGCGCCTGCTGGCGTGGAGAACTCATTGAATATGTAGCTCAGAGTGCCGGACAAGACTCCTTCGATTTTGATCACCTCATCTCCAGTGCTGACCAGGTCTTTGAGAGTGCCAAGGATGGGCAGACCTGCGCCGACAGTAGACTCGCCGTAGAACAGCGGTGCGCCTGCCTGGGCCGGATTGGTAAGCTTAAGGATCTGAGTGTACAGCTCCAAAGAACCGGACACGCCCTTCTTGTTGGGAGTCACGACGCTGAAGCCGGCTTTGAGGAACTCTGGGTAGAAGCTGGCGACCGAGTCGTTGGACGTGTTGTCGACCACCGCAGTGTGTCTGCCAGTCTCTCTGGTAAGCTTTTGCAAGGTAGCGACCAGCTCCGGCAGCGCTGGCACAGAGTCTGTGGAGCCATCCAAGGAAGACTTCCAGTCCTTGAGGGCTGCTGAGCTCGGCGAGAGAAGAATCTTCCTGCTGTTTTGCAGAGAGATGATGTTCAAGATCGGCAAAGCGGCCAGCTGAGAGATCACAGCTGAGCCCACCAGGCCGACGCCTGCGAAGAGTGGTAGAGTCCACAAAGTTGAGTGTGAGCTTCGACCCCTTGAGCGTACGCCCGATCTGCGAGAAGGCAATTTCGATAGCAGCGGCACTGACCGATGATGGCGACGTTGATGCCTTTTGGAGCTGCACCAGAAGCGAGTTGGGCAGCCATGACGTGGTTGAGGAGGATGCAAGGGTTGCTTTCAAGGGTGTGAATACTGGCCACAGCCTCCAGAGACTACGAGTGAAAAGGTGGGTCGTTGTTGTGTAGAGACTCGAAAGACGGACGATGTCGACTACTGCTCGTGACTGCTGAGGGTGAGAAGTGATGAATGCTTACGAAAGTCTGCGCGATGATAGTCTGTACACTCGTACAAGTGTCGGATTGCAAGCCTTAGAAAAATCCAGAATGACGAATGGGCACGAGGCAAATCAAGAGTTGGCGTCATAGCTCGGGCATCGCACGCGAAGGAAGATTCACCCTCACGACTTGAATTCACAATTCATGAATCACATTGCATGAGCCGTGCAACCGTGCAAGAGAATCCAGTGTGGGCATACTCAAGATTGTCTACGCTGCGTGCACGGACATGATGCTATATAGAAGATGGTCTGTTGGATTGCACGTGACGACGAGAGAAGACCGGTCCTCTGTTACAAACCTTGAGTCGAGAGTATTCTGGCGCGCTACGCGGCTCCGTGTCCCTCCTCGTCGTTGGCGCGCTAGAGCACGCGCTGCGAAGCAGAGAACATTCGGGTGGTCGAGATGGTTGGCCTTGGCGCGCGTTCACGCGGGCATCCTTGCGCATGCTGCGCTCGCTGTGCCTCACTCCGGAGAATCGTTGCACCTAAACGACACAAACAAAGCGACCCTCCAAGACGGGGAGACAAGGATTGTAGCCTTGCCCCCCTTTTGCCAGCGGAGAGTATAGGCAACGCCGACGGTTACTGCGACTGACTCCAATGGCCCAAGCAAGTTTCAAGTGATTTGAATCCCTGAACGAACGAAGACGCTCATTATGATGCCATGCGAGGTCAAATGTCGACACTCAGCGCGATCTTTGTGGCGCTCTAGCATGGGTCCGATGGGTTGAACGCCGGCCGGGCGTCCTGGTCGTTCGTACTGTACAGCGTAGCGGCGCAATAAAGCTGACCCTTGATCTGACGCGCAGCATCGACTCCGAGCCTGCGCTGAGAGGCCACATGCACGCAAAAACAAAAGAAATGCCGCAGGACAGCGCTTGTCTCCGTTGGCCGCTCGGGTGGGAGAGAGAGTCGATCACCATGCAGTGAAAGTGAATTCTTTTCACGGACAGCTCCAGTGACAATCACAATGGGCAAGCGGCAGCTGACTCAAGGGACGCAAGCTGCAGGAGAAGACGAAAATGCGACCTTTCTGCGGACCGCGAGGCGCAGGCAGCAGAGGAAGCCACCTTATCTGAGCAGGAAGTTACTAGCAGCACCATTAAGGGGTGAGTGGCACAGCGAGGCGTGAGACAGGTTGGTCAAAGCAGCCCCTCATGTTTCGTATGTCCATGCTTGGAGTATAGGATGAGGCATGACGTAGATACGTATCCGTGCCAGGGCACGAAAGGAGGTGGTGCGCGCGGCTCCTAAATTGACGGCACACACAACTTAAGCGCTGCTGCTGCTGGGGTCATTCGGCCATGAAAGGCAGGATTAACAACGACAAGAGTAGTGACAACGCGGGCGTCGCCCCCTTTGACATCAAGTCGCCGCACGAGACGCTTGGAACAAGACACCAGAAGCGGATGTTTTCTCTCCAAGGCTCTTCTGCTGCAAGCACCGTTGAAGGTTGCAGCGATCGATCGTTGTTTCGATACCGGCGTAGCTTGCAGGCGCAAAAGTGGACAAGGCCCGAGGCCGCTTGCTGCATGTACAAGTGAGTCTGTCTGGGCGAGATTGTGCAGCGTCAGCAGCCTTTGATGCATCAAGTTGCGTGACCCGCGTCATGTCACTGTCCCCTGAGTGTGGAAAGCTGCCACGCCGCGAGTCTCTGTGCGTTCAGCGGCTGGATGATCGGCAACGGAAGAGATGCCGCAGGCGCACACGTCCGCTCTGAGACAGCTGTACACATGCAGTGCCCAGCAAAATTGCTCGATCCCATGTCGCCCGCTTGCCGGTACACACCATGCAGCACAGAAGCAGCCCAACGGCCGGCCAGCACCCATGCAGCAGCGAGAGCTTCCACGTTGAAGAGGTTCCTTCGCCTATGCAGCCTTTCGCGTGGTATAGGTGCAGCGCACTCTGCCACTCACCCTCGCCTAGCTGCATACAGCGGCTGCAAGCGACTATTGCGCCCGCAGCGCAGAGAGCCTTGCAAGAGTGATGATGTGGTCAAGCGATGTCAACGATCAGCTGCTAGTCGCTCGGCGCTGTTTGCTGCTGCACCTGTACGCTGCTGCCGCGCCTGACCGTCCGTTCTGCCCCTGCCGCACACGTTGCGCGGCGTTCCGCACATTCCTCGGCGGGAGAGATGAAGCAAATGAGCGCGATGCCCTCGCCCGCCCGCTCGCGCGCGCCGCCAAAGCAAAGCGATGATCCTGATTTTGAAGATTGCGCTTGGCAAGCCAGTCTCTCTCCATCGCTCCACAACCTTCACTCTCTTGTCCCGCTCAACTCTCCTGTCTGATCTCCCCCATTCTTTCCAACAGAGCGTTTCCCACTCACATTCTCAACCATACGAAACGCCTCGCGTGCGCTATCTAGAGGACAGCGCGAACACGAGGGAAATCGACACGCTCCCCACCAAGGACCTCTCAATCGGTTCCTCTCCTTCTCACACTCTCTTTACTTCAAGGCGTACTCGCCTTTCTCGCTTCTTGCTTCATTACGCCGGATCTGCCCGTCATCCGGGCATCTGAGCGTACAGCTGGCATCATAGATAACGACAAAGGCGAGCAATCTCTTGCGCGATATTCTTGGGCAGGCCCAGCGATCGGACAGGCGCCTTGAGTAGCATCCAGCATCCAGATTTTGATCCTGCGCATCATGGTTCACGACACTGCACAGGGGCTCAATGCTCATCGACGCATGGAACGTCATCGTTCTCGATCCCTTGCACCTCATGAAATGCCATTGGAGACCCGGGACTACATCAAAGATGTTCGAGCAGCAGTCGAGCGTGCCCACGACGAGGCGCATTCTCCTCAAATCGACCGTCGCTTGGGACCTGGCTTCTTCGACCCGTTTGGCGGCAATGATGATGACGATGGAGACTCTCCCTCTCATGACCAAGGTGGTGCAGGCGGTGATGACGATACCACTCCAACCAACACGCGTGGTCAAACTCGACCAGCAACTACCAGCGCCTCTAGGACAACGACAACCTCGAGTGACAGAGGCTTGCTGGATACAGTTCTCGATCCGTTCACTCGTGAGTTCTAGTCTTGCATGACAAGCGTGTGACGACATCGTCACCTCCCTGCCGTGTTGTAGGCCATGTGACTGACTCACGGTCACACCACTTCGAACGGGCATCTTCAGGCTCGCACACCACGACAAGCAGTAGTAGCACCAGCACTACCTCATCGTCTACGAGCTCATCCACGCGCACCACGTCAAGCAGCTCGCGAACGACCAGCTCATCCACAGTGAGGCACACGACATCTTCTACGGTTGGTTATAGTTTTCGTCCCCTTTCTACCTTCCTACCCCCTTTCCCCGACTGTTTTGGGCCTGCGCCAATGACGTCGAAGAGTGGGCTCCTTTGGATCGAAGCTGCATCGCATGATCGCTATGCCTGCCTCGATCTCACAAGCGAGCCCCTTTTTAGATCGTTTTTGCTCCTCCCTCCGGAATCTCTCCTCTCCTTGCCGTACCTTTCCGAGCTCGATACTGACGCTGCTCCTTCCTTCGTCTGTAGGAGCCCTTGCCGACATTGACCACTCCTACGCCATCCACCGCCACGGCCGTGGCTTACGTCACGTCCTCGTTGAACACTGTTACGCCAACCGCGACTCCCGAACCTCAAAGTGACGGTCCCGGTGCCGGTCCCATCATCGGTATTGTCGCTGGTGCTCTCGCAGGAGTAGCTCTACTTGCTGCCGTAATTGGCTTCGTCGTCAAGAAGGTGAGGAGCAAGGAGGATCCATACGAGTCCAACCCCTTCGACCGTGACGATTTCCGCCGTCAGAGCGCCATGTTGCCCGAGAACTTTGACGATGAAGATGGCGCACCTAGCATGTCCGAGCATCAGCATAACAACCTTGCTGCTGCTGGCTATGGCGCTGCTGCTGCTGGCGGCATGGCTTACGCAGGTGCCTCGCAGTCTTCTCACAACGCCTCTGGCGGGCCTCGTCCCCCTACCATGTTTGAACGGCACATGGCAGGCCCTGGCGCTCAGTATGCCTTCGATGATGCCAGCGCGCCTCCCGTCCCTCAGGTCGGTGCCGTATTCAACCAAGGCCCAGCACCCTCCCTTCCACCCATGGCGTTTGGAGGCAGCGATCCTTACACGCTTGCTGGGGTTGGAAACCGTGACCACGAGAACTTCAACAACTCTGTCAACCCTTACGCCCACTTGGATCGCAACCGTTCATTGGGCTCTGACCGCGGCTATCAGCCCAACTTCCAGCCTGGTCAGCTCGCCTTTGGAGCGCAGGGCTCGCAGAGAGAGACGGACTTGGACCGCGCCGGCTCCAACGGTAGCGACTTTAGCCAAGGACAGGCCCTCGACGCTGCAACTCAGAACGGCCGCGATCTGATCTCGCCCTTCACGAATCCCCACGAAACTTTTGCACACCACGGCGTGGGCCAGCAGTTTGAGGATGACCACGCATACGACACCGCTGGTCGACCTGGCACTGCTGAAGGACGCAGCGGCACCCCTGACTTGGACAACCCTCAGAATCACTACGCTCCGACGGACACTATCAATGGCGACCAACGTCACTACCAGACCAGTCCTGAGCCTTCTGCTAGAGCCGCCTCTCCCTTCAACGCCCTCGACAGCCCGCCTCAGCAGCCATTGCAAGTAAGAAATCTCTTGCCAGGCCACTCTCAGCAACAACAGCGACCCATCAGCACCGCTACTGAAGACCCAAGCGATGCTTATGGCGGCTGCTACTAGGCTGAGAGCGGGCTCTAGCGCGGCAGTGATCAGCATAGACGCTGTTGGTACAACCCGCATCTTCCCGCTTTCGCCTCTTGTTCTGAACGGTTTTGTCCGATCGGTCTCACAGTCATTACGTTCAAGGTTTTGGGGAGCAGTGATCAGACTGCTCCACCGCGTGGATTTCGTCACCCCCACCCCTTTGCATGCGCCCATGAGCCACAGCAGAACATAGTCTAGCTGGTGCTCAATGAAGCAGCTATCGGCGCAAGAGCTCCGATTGCTCCTTGACATTACCTACCTCTTGTTCGTTCCGAGTCCGCGCGAGAATCCCTGGTGGATCTTTCGCATGTCATACAATTAGAGCGGATGCCGATCCCTCTTGCCCCCTCCCCTTCCAGGTACACTCTCCAATTTTCGAGTATCTACTGTTGTAGTGCCATTGCACAGGGCCTTTCTATACCTTCACACAGGTATCCAGTAAATGCATGGAATCGCAAGGTCTCAATGACTGCTGTGCACTCGGCGCACAAGCTCGCTATCGCGGACACTTGCAGACACTTCGAGGGCTCGAGGCAAGAGATAGCAACGAACATTGATTAGCTAGAGTACAAGTGCAAGTGCTGTGAGGACGGTGAAAAGAACGTGAGGCGAAGTGTGAGTGTTTGCGTCGAGGTATGAGAAAAGGAGTGTGTCTTGTCTAGCGAAAGTCAAGATAAGCAAGCAGGCAAAGGTGCATTCATGGACTTGATCGGATGACGTTTCAAATGATGGTGCATGGCGGTTGTGCGAGTGCAGCGTTGGCAATGGAGAATGCTGGATCTGCAAGTCGCTTGCTTTACTTGCATATGGGTCCTTACTTGGCCGAGATTGACGATTGGTCGCCTGTGCGCCCAAGGCTGATGATAGGCAGACACAAGCTTTGCAAGGCATTCTTCAACCTAGAACTGGCTGCCATTGGTGGTGGTGGCGGTTTCACCTTCCACCGCTTGCCTATGCTCTTTCTGAACTTGTGCGAAATGAGCGTCTCGCCTGAGAGGGCGCATTGCAGGTGGAGATAGATGCGAGGAAGGAGCGCTAGGAAGATGAAGCAAAGACCGGAAGCGAAGAGCAGGCCGCTAATTGGAGATGCGCGCAGTGCTCGAGCGAATGAACCTCGCTCGTCGGGAAAGACGGCAAGACCGGGAGGTCTGGGTTCCGTAGCGTTCAAATGTGCAACGTGAGCCAGGTGCAGTGCTGCAAATACGACCGTGTAGCTGAGCGCGAGAAAGGCGAAAATCAAAAAGCCAATGAAGGCGGCCAGATTACGTATGCCGACATCGCTGCCCAGCCAGTCCGTGTGGTAGGACAGGTTCTGTACGCAGCGATCGCAAGTCACGCAATGATGTGCGCCGGGCGGAGGATACAGTCTGCAGGCGGCACACCATCGAGTACGCATGACTGCGCCACCGCGCACCATCACGCTTTTGGGCAAAGGCTCCTTCTCGATGTCCAACGGTGGCAAAGAGTGACCGGCCAACCTTTGACCACGAACGACTTTGATGAGGTGTTTACCGGAGAGTCCAAGTGGCCTCAGGATTCGATGCCGCCTCGTGAAGCGGTCTGCATCATCGCCTTCGTATATCAGCCACGTCTTCTGACCTTCACGATCGACAAAGGGGATCGCGCGAACAGAGGTCTCCACCTGCAGCGGCATTAGGGTGGTCGCACGTCTAGCTTGAGAAGTTGTGGAAGCCCTTCGCCGCCCGCGCCACTTTCCGCTCTGCACTTGGTCCGCAGCTTGCTCGCCCTTTGGTGGTCTGATTTTGGATTCTGCGGTCTGCGCCTCGCGCTTCGCAACATTTTCGCTCGTGGTTCCACCTACTCGAAGCTGGAGACCTGAGCCCTGCGCTTGCGTATCGCCAGCCATAGCCCGGGGCAAGGCGGAAGCCGCAGCGCCGCGCAGCTGTTGTCGCAGCTTTGCGATGGCAAGACGTCTTCTTGGCGAGTCTTCGTCCAGATCAAGTACCACCGCATCCGAATTCTGGGGCGCTGGCGTTGTCCGGCCGTCCTGATCGGCGCCGGGAATGGGCGATGCAAACGCACGGTTAGCGCCATAAGGGGGATCGCTGTCAAGGGCCTTGGGCAAGGCGCCTGGTTCTCTAAAGAGCGCTACAACAAAGTTGACCATCATCCCAAGGAACAGATACCCCTGCACCGCGACCACGGAGGGATGAACGGCTTGAGCAAGGTAAGGAGCCTCGAAAACGCCCCAAAGAGCAGCAAAGGCTACTTGAAACAGGGAAAAGCAAAGCATCCGCGCGTGCGTCTTGCCCCACGTGGATCCGACTGCCTCTCGCTTCGAAGTATACGATCCAGCAACTGCTGCATGCGGGATGGATGCAATCATCGCACGGAAGTCCTCGGCGCTCAGTACTTGATGGTCGACGTGCTGAAATGCGTTGGGAAGAATCGGACCGCGATTGGCCATGTAAGCGAAGCCTTCTGCTTCGGAGCTTCGCGCATCAACAGAACGTCTGCTGAGGCTGCTATTTGCATCCAGGCTACGTGGAGGGCGCTCGGAAGCCACTAGACTCGTGGGACGCCGGGTCGAGCGTCGACGGTCGTGCTCTTCCACGGCAGAGCTTTGCGAGGCAGGATCTACGGATGAGACCTCCCCTCGATGACTTTCGATCATGCTCAGGCGCTGCATCCTAGCATGTCTGGCTGACAAAGCATATGCAGGAATTGCGGCAGCTTCTGGCATGTCGTCGCTGGCCCGGCTCATGCGTCTTCCTCCTGCAGGCCCTTGGACAAAGCTCAGATGGGAGAAGTTCCCAGAGAGGTTCCCAATGCTATGATGTCCCCCACTTCCGCTCCAACGTGGTCCGCTGCTGCTACCAGCCGATGCCGAGGAATCTCGTGGGGCACTAGGCCCAATGTCCGCGGAGGCACCGAGCCTTTCACGAGTGGCATCATTCACAGCTGAGATTGCGTCGTGGGCAGACCCGCGGCGCAGGATAGACACGGGTCTTTCAGGCGTCTGCGTGATGCCAAGCCCGACGAGAGGTGGCCCAGAGCGGATCGAGATGCTTCTCTGAGGCGCGTTCGAAGCGCTTGATGCCGGAGAGCGCACCGCTCTGGCCTTCAGCGGGGTGTTTGGGGGCTCAGCATCGGCTGTCCGAGGTTCTTGAAGTACGTCAGTCGATGGCGCACCATGCGCTCCGAAATCTGCAGCACTTCCCCGTCGATCCCAAAATTGGACGCCAGTATATTCCAACTCTGAGCTGGGACGTCCCACGGTCGCTGCTCTCGAGCCCATCTCGCTGTGAGCTGTGCTGGGCCGCAATGCCTCACGGGATCGCATTCGCGACCACAGTGATGACTTGCTCTGCTTCAGACGCAATCTGGCAAGCTGCGGATTCGAAGAATTTGGTTCGGCATCGGGTGAAGCCGAATGCCCCCCAGTAGCTTGAGCAGAGCCGCTCGAAAGAGGCAGACTTGTGTTGCTCGAGAAATATAGAGCGAACTGAGACCGCAAAGCGGAGCCGAGTAAGGCCATTCCGGAGGACTCCGGCTCAGTATTTCGAGCCGGGCCATCAGACGCGGGGACAGGCCGATGGTCTTGGTTCTCGTCCACGCCGATGGCAGTAGCTACCGGCAGCAGATCCAGGTGGAAGGCTTGCTGCTCGGTGGCGGGGGTTTGAGGGACCAAGTCAGGGGTCATGAAAGCGGGCGTGTGACCCGATGACCCAACACTTAAAGCGGCGCCAGAGTCGCTTCTAGACATCGCGGCGTTCGACGTTGAGCTGCTTGTGGTGATACCTAGGCCAGCATTAGACATCGACGCTGGGAGCAGGCCACCGTCTCGCTGTTCCGTGCTGAGACCTTTTGCTTCACCCGCGGTGGAATGTTTTGGGGAGGGTCCTTTGCCGCTGCGCACTGAGCCACTCTTCTCGTCTTGGACCGAGAGCGCTTCCCCTCGCCCTTGGTCTGCGTCCGGGGATTGGACGCCAAACGTGCCCGCAGATGGAGGCTGGTGAGAGGTCGAGGCAGCGAAATTCGTTGACAAAGTGATTGGCGGTGGTCGACGATACTGTGACGCAGGTCGAGCCGTAGAGCGCCATGCCTCCGCTGAATCATCTCGTGAGCGAGGTACCTTGACCTCTTCTTGCAATGACTCGCTCTGTGTCTCCCGACTGGCTTCGGCTCGGTCATGCTCCTGCGCTACGGTTGGCAGAGGCTCAGAACGAGAACCATCTCGTGAGGAGTGACCGGAAGGCGGGTCCAAGGGATCGTGACTCTTGGCGCGACTTGCACGATACGAAGTCGGCGGAGGTGAAGCAGTTGAGCGATCGAGACCGCCAACGGCACTCGCGGTCGACGGAGGGTTGTACGCGAACCCACTACCGGAGAGTCCACCAGGAGAGCGCGGAGATCGTGGCAGCAACCCGAAGCTTTGGGAGTTTCTGAGACGCTGGTGATCGCGACCTGCGCTACTGATGGAGTCTCTGTGCACGATTTCTCCTAGTGCGGAGGTCTGTTCGCCAGTACTTGATGATACGGTTCCGGCTCCTGCGGCATCATGTTGCTGCAGCTGCCTTATGACCCAAGAGGAAGGGCGAGACGTCGGAGAGGAGCTCGTTTGAAAGTTTCCTGCGCTATCGTAGGAAGCAGCTGACTCCGGCCTTGGCGACGCCGATGTGGACCAAGACGGCGTGCGCCTGTAGCCAAGAGAGCGTTGAGACGAAATGACGACGAGATGGTGCGACCGTGCCGGCCGCCGCGCGGGCTGCCGCTACCGTCGCCTACGTAAACCTGCAAAGGTCGATCCCAAACGTGATGTCAGCTTGAGAGCGTAGCGTGGACAGCGCCATAGCGCTTCGACCGGTGTCGTTCGCCTCTAGAACAATGATCCATCCATTCTTCCGGTTCGGGCTCAACCCGCAGCCACATGAATAAGGTTCAAGTAGCGCGTCACGAAATCAAATGCATGCATGAACGGCGAACTGCCCACTTGGAAGGTAGCGTGCTCGAACAGCCACTCCATCATCCATAGACGGCACAAACAACTCACTGACTATCAGAAGTAGATGGATGGGCCAGAAGCGAAAGGTGCCGCAAGTGAGACACGGGGGGCTGGACGGCCTCCATGAGCTATTGTTGTTGCATCAAACATTCGTGGCGCGGAAAGCGCCCCTGTTTGTGTTCGCCCGCCGTGGTGCAGATTATCGAGACCGTCGGCGGGACGCAGTACTTGGGCGACACCGACGCGCAGGCTGCGGTTTCTTGGAAGAGTATATACCGTCCTCAGAGCATTTGACAGCCCTGTGCAGCGAAGGCCAGTGGTGTCAAGATCCGTAGAGATGAAAAGGTGAAGCTGAATGAGGGCAAGGAAGATAGGTGGGGCGAGGGCTAAGAAGCGAGCGAGAATGCGAAGAGGTGCTTTCTGCTATTGGTGGTAGGTCCCTCGCGGGTGGTGCATGCGTGTTGGAATCATCAACCGTGGTGTCTTTGATCAATCGTGGTGTGCCTTGCTCACTTTGACTGCGAGTACCATCCACCCAATCGTGACACCGACTGGAACGCGAATGCGACGGGCCAAGTCCTCGTCCGATGTTCCGAAGGCAGGAACACCATGGTCAAGGCGCCTCTCCACCCGCGACCCTTCTTGCATGGAGCGAAGCGGTGGACCGGCACTTCCTCGCAAGTTCTGGCATCTGGCGAAAAGGCTGATGAGTAACGACAGATGCTGAAGGCAGCCTGCCTGAGCTCGACGACGTCAGCAAGAAGAAATTCGCATGCTCGCATGCTGGTCACGCACCGCAGAAAGAGCAACACTTTGCAGGTCATCAGTGCATGTGGGAATCGGTGCCATGCGCTCGCTGCATGTGGTCGAGGGAGCGAGTCGGCTTGCAGCAAAGATGGAGCTAGGGGGCAAGTTCGCAGGCGAGTTGATGCATGCGACAAAGGCGAGAGCTGCGTCAAAGGCCGAGCCTGCAGTCATAATCAGCTGGACACAAGGCTCGCGCAAGGACTCTCTGCTGCGAAGATAGAAGAACGGCACCGTTGTATCTACAAGGCCGTTCAGCCTTCGTCATCATGTTCGCCCCGGAATTGCCTCTCTGTGAGCATTCTCTGTGCCCTGTCATGAAGTGCAATGCATGCGAAAGGCTGCTTTGCGTGAGAAAAGGTTTGTGCGCCTAGGCTGGGCAGCAAGTGTAAGCCACATCAAGTACCGTGCCTCTGTTATGGTGTCCAGCCTCTCTGTATCCGCGCTACTTGGCCGCAACGAAGAACACTTTTCAATGCGTTCTCTTCCTGCATACGCTGCCTCACATGAAAGCGGCGCGGCTAGGCCGTAGCCGCTGCAAAGCTCCAGCAAGCGCTTGATTAGCGAGTTCCCCTCGGACTGCGAACCTCGCAGAGAAGACCTTTCTTTCTGCTCTCTACGAGGATAGTGGGAACACTGGTTCTAGACTCCTTGGTCCTCTTTCGCTTTGCAAGAGAATCGAGGCACTTTGCCGAGATCAGACGTCGAGGTGACGGCGGCTTGTGGAGATCGATCTGCAATTTCCCAAACGCAATGCAAAGCGCGCGAGCTGAAGCGCAATTCTGAAATTGCGACCGCATGGCATGTGTGTTTGATTTGTTTGTTTTGGCCCCCGTGAACCTTTCAGTGAGCGTCCGCGGGCACTTTTGCGCACGATTAGCAGCTAGCTCATCAGCAGAGAGCGTCCTCCATCGCATATGGCCGCGCCTGAAAGTTGCCCCGCGTATTGTGCTGTACAGCAGCATACAGTACAGCACATACATCTGCGTGCAGTGCATGCGGCCGACTGTGTTTACCATCTTGAGCTCCGCTGTTGCCTCCTTCTTTGGTGAGCTGCACAACGGCTCGGTGGCAGAGTAAGGCGGCAGCACATCCATGTTCAATCACCTCCGAAGCTCATCAGTCGCACAACTGAGCTCGCTGAGCTGGCGCTCCACCCGAAACAATGGGACCTCCTGACCGCAAGACGCTACTACTACCTCGCTCTGGTACATCCGCTTCGAAACGACTCCGAGGCTGCTTTCGTGCCGGCTGTAATGTACCAGCCCCGCCCGGTTCCGACCTCGATGGGCATGCAGAGACGAAGGTCAGGAAGACTTTGAGTGTGACATTGTGATTGCCGAAGTAAGTCACAAGACCGGCCAGCTCGATCGAGCCCGTTGTGAACGCGAGCTTTCGCACGCCCAGACATTCTTGGCCTTGTTCGAAAGAAAAGTTGCGAATCTGAAAAGCTGCTACCGTTCGTGCTTCGTTTCGTGATCGCATCTCCGCGCCGATGTACCTATTCTTGTTGTGTCACTTCAGTGCCTTAATCCAACGGTCGACCGCCGATTCGACGCCCATTGTTCCTGCTAGCGTGTCGACTCGGGTGCCGAATACGCGAATCGTCTGTAGCGGATGTGAATGGCGATGTTCTCACTCTCTTCCGCGCTTGGGCCTCATGTGAAGTTGGAGCTATGTACGGTACAGCACAACAGCTTTTTCGCGCCAAACAGGAACAAAAGCCCGAACGATCGAAAGTGCTCTTGCACGCGTAAGCCCGTGACGTCTAATCTCGTCTGCACTTGTCAGCCACACGAGGACCAGCCCTGCACGCACTTGGTGCGTGCGTGAAGCCCCTCAAGCTTCGTTGGATCGACAACGGTCTCTCAAGCCGGTGACAGCCACTCAAACTGCTTACCGCAATAGGCGGACCGCGTCGGAGAGTGCAATTCCCAAATCGCGTGTAGCGAGTTTGGAAGCGAGGGTCGTCGCGCGCGGACGATGACCCGTATCTTTCTTGAGCCGCCCATCCGCTTTGGAAACCCCACCTGGTTCTCTGTTGCCTGGATCGACGCAGGTTGTCCATGAATCTTCCTTGGCAATGTCCATTTGGCGCCGAACAGGCGCCCGGTGTTCAAGCTTGTGGCCCTTCAAACTTTGCCCATGTCTCACTTGAAGTGTGAGAGCATCCATGCACGACTTTGCTGCATTCACGATTCACGATTGCTGCTAGAGAGGCGTCATCTGCATAGGCAAGTATACTGTACTTGTGGCTGCCATTTCCCCTGAGCACAGTCGGCGACACTGGGATCGGAGTGCCCTTGATTGTTGCAGCTGTGACTCGTGCGTGCAATTGGTATTGTACAAGTACAATGGCAGTATCAGTATCCCGGCCGGCCTCGGCCGTTGCTGCGCTAGAAGAGAAAGTGTCATGCGAGTAGGCGTACTCGCGTACCGTAGTCCTAGTGTACTCCCACTTCGGAAGGAAATGCAAAGCTCGCAGAGGACACACTCAGACTTTAGCTCTTCGGCTGTGAATACCATCGGGTACGCTAACGTTAGGGGTGGCTTCCCGTTGTCAACGGTCGCGCTTCACATGTGCCCCCTATCTTGTCAAAGGAAGTCGCGACGTTCGAAGGCTGAGGTGTGTTGGGCTGGTGTGACTTCTCAGGCCAACGCAAAGGCGTCTGTCTGCCTCGGCGACATTCTGGCCTGCAAGCCCTTGTCAAGCAATCGGAAAGCAGTCAGGACGCTCAGGCAGCTTGTGAGCTCAATGCCTCACAGCAGCTACTCTGACTCTGGACTCAAGCGCGATCTGATAGACCAAGGAGATATTGTACGGAAAGTGCCAACTCCTATCGCGAAACGCAGCAAGGCGATCAAAATTGCTACCCAAGCCGAGAACTTCTCCCGCTCTCCTTCACCGCCCGAAGCGGTATCGAGACACGGCGAGCATCAGTGTGACTCGTCAGCACAATCAACGCGACGCCGAACGAAGGCGTCGTTGTGCGATGTCACCAAGACATGAGAACTAGCATGACACATCAACTCTCTCTGTTGTGATCATAGTCCGCTCGTGTCAAAATGTGAATCTTGTTAGCGTGCGAATATTCTCGAGCGTATGCACATGCACCTCTCAAGATCGACAGTCCTGCCACGT